TGTTTGGGGAGGGGGCGAGATGGTGGGTCGTGGCATGGAGGTTTCTCGTTGGTTATTGGTAAATAAAACGTCTAAGCGCGCAAATTTTGTATAAAAATAAAATATGGTTTTACTATCAGCAGAAGGGATCGTGTATGCGGCTAATGCTAATAACATGCAATTTCCACCAGAAACAACACGCATGCATGCCACACAGTTTTTTCCCAAAAAGGAGGCAGGTGAAAAGTATTCCATTTGCATGAACACCAACCAAGCAACCAGACCAACAGCCCAACAGCCCAACAGCCAAGCCAACCAACTGGCGACGTCGCTGACAACCCGCAGAGGCGCACCAGAGGCGAAGGTGTTGAAAATTAGTAACTGTCTGTGAGTTCAATCCTCTGCCTCGGCATGGTGCTGCTTGTGGTGGTGGTAATGGTGGTGGTGGTGTCGTTGATGATAGATGGTGAATGGTGGATGGTGGCCAGGCGGTGCCAGCTACCATCTAACAGCTGCTGCCGCTGCTGCTGCTGCTCCTAAATTTGAGTTATCGATTGCCATTTTCACAACTGTTCATATGTGATTCGCGGCAAAGGCTTATCAAAATCAGGGAAATATATAAACTGAATACTGCATAATTCTAATGAGCTAGATAGAATTGCAGACAGGCTCTGTCGATAGAAAAGTGTCTGCAAGCAAGCCACAAAGCAGCTTAGTTTAGCAACTGCTATTAAAAAATCAAATAACAAAATATTTATGCATATAAAAAAATATAATAGATAATAAAAGAGTTCGATCGTATGACAGTATAATGTAATTTGAAGTTTCTATGCGAAAAGAATCTTATCGATTGCGAAACTTATCAATAATATGGCAGGCATAATTCAATTAATCATCATCTGCAGATGCAGATCAGCTGAGAACTTGGCGCTGAATTAAATTCATTTCATATGCAAGCCAGAGAGAATATTTTTTGTTGTTAAGAGCTGGGGAAACGAGCAACTTTATGTGACGACAACTTTACAATGTGAGCAAAACAAAACAGCAGCAAGAACAACTGTGGTGAGACACAGACGGAGGCAAACATGAATAAAATTTGCTAAAAAGTGGACACAACGAGCAAATAAACAACAACGAGAGCAACCGGCAAGGCAGGCAGCTAGAGGCAGAGACAGAGGCAGAGATAGAGAGAGAGAGAGAGGGAGAGATATTTGAATTGGAGACAGCGCTTGGACTTTGGGATGTTTGCAAATGTGGATGTGAATGTGAATGTGAATGTAAATGTGGATGCTTAATAAAATAATGCGACAGAAGGAACGACAATGACTACGATGATGGTGATGATGCTAATAATGATGATCGAGTGTATGTGTGTGTGGATACATTTATTGGTGTGTGTGTGTGTGTGTGTGTGTGTGTGGCGCGAAGTGAATTAATGGCTTAATTGAAAAATTTGTTCTCACCATGAGAGTTTCTTTGTGTCGTCGACGTCGTTGTGGACAAATTGAGCGACTATCCGCAGTGTTGCCACTGACCCGATGGCAACCCTACTAAAATAAATATATATATATATATATATATATGTGAAAAGTTCCCATCGTTGACATCTTTTGACTTTGACACCTTTTTTACCGTTTTTTTTTTTTTTTGTGGTGCGAAATTAGCATTTTTGCTGGCACTTTTAAAAGGCTTTTAAAACTGGCGAAGACAGTCCCAAAGTGCAAATCACAGCGCAAGGAATCGCGAGAGAAACGAGTTTCTCCAACTGACTTCCCAGTCGACGTCATCGTCTGTGTTGCCGTCTTCGTTCCACTGGGGCACTAATCAATTTCATATCAATTTGTAAATTTGCAATAATTACGATAATTAGCTGCGAGTATCTGACGATTCCAATGGCGATGCTCCTCTCTGCTCCAGACAGACATGGACGCTGTCTGGACCTGGGACCTGTTTCGTATTCGCCTCCAAATGCATTCAAAGAATGCGTCGAGGTGATAATGAGATTTTCAATTCAATAAAACATCAGCCAGCATCCGCGTCGCATTCGCATCTGTATTCGTATTCGTATTCGTATTCGCATTCGCATTCACACTGACCGTTGCCAATTTTGGGCTCGGACATCGCCAGGCGAAATCTCTGCATGAATATTTCATTCAATTTACACTTTGGTCGCAACTTTTTTGCTCGTCTTTGCCATGGCCAAAAAGGAGCTGACCAAGGATCTCGCGACAGCTAATTAAGTAATTTTTTCTTGCTGCCCTGTATTTGTCTTGACAACTGTTGTTGATTTTGCGCCTCGCCTTGCCTCGCCTGCCCCTTCCCTTGCCCTTCTCTTGCCTCTTATTGCTCCATTGCCTTTATGGCTGCTTAATCAACACTCCGTCCAGCTGCTCTTAAGTTGGCATTGGTTAGCGGGTCTGCAGTTGACTTTTTCTTAATTGCTTCTTACAGCCGATTAAGTGTAATAGCCAATTGGCAATTGAGCACTCGAATTGGGTTCAATCGAGCATGAAATTGTAGAAAACTTCTCCACGCATTTTGCCAGCTGCCATTGGCGTCACAACAAAAGATCTACTTGCTCTTGTTTTTTGCTTAAGCTCATCCAAAACTGGGGCACTTTGAAGACTATTATTAATACAATCCTACCCATTTTATTTATATAATTTACTGTTCAATTTAAAATACATGAACTCTTTAAACTGTTTTGATTAACCATTTTTCAAATTGTTTGTCTCATTTCAGGTAAATATCTTCGATCGTTTCATTCAACCCAATCCACAAATTCACAAAGTAAGCGAGTTGAAAAAGAAAAAAACCAAAACAAAACCCATTAAAATGCAATACCAAATTGTTACATTGGTGTAATTAAATGAATGTGTATTTGACACCCTCCCGCTTCAATTTGAGCCCCGCTATAAAAATGGAAAAACTTCAATAGCTCTGAGATAGGACAACTTTGCCGGCTGTTTGACACTGGCAACGCACTTACGACAAAATAAAAGCCACCCTACAAAAAAAACACACACACATACACACAGCTTACACTACACTTTTAGACATACACACATACGTATGTCTATCGGAGAAACTTACCCCGTGGACGGGGTTGTTTTTCCGTTTGACGCCATGCGCTTGTGAAAATGAAAATGAAAATCCACCCGAGCCGTGCGGCAGCCTGCGATTACGATGTTTTAATGCCATTTTTAGTTTTTCATCCATATGGTTGGTCTGGCTGGGTATCCACCCACGGTGGACGGACTGGCTGCCCAGCTGGACGGGCAGTTCAGCTTATAGGCCAGGCCGGCGGACTGTTCAGGCCAGGCCAGGGTTGCCAACAGCTTCTTAGCTGTGCTCGCTTGTTGCGTTGGTTATGGTACAGTGCGGATTCCTCGTTACGGATTTATCGCAGTTCACACACACACACACACACACACACATGCACAGACCGACGCACTCGGACGAATCAACATTGACTACTCCCGTGGGCATACAACTAAATCTGTGTATCTGTATCTAATGCGGGGACAACTCGGTGGCCATGGCTATCGAGCATATTGTATCTACAAGTAGTTGCTGGCAATGTGCGCCAAAAACCGATAGCCAAAATTGCAGTTGAAATGTTTTTATCGATTTAACAGCTGCGTTTCGCAGTGGTCGGGGCTAAGCATTTGATTCGACTGGGTTGGGTTGGACTGGGTTGGGCTGGATTTTGGTCTGGGCTCGAATCGATTCCATACAAGTGAATTGGGTGAATGTATGTTGGAGGCAATACTAAAACTGGGAACAACTGTTTTCGTTGACAGCTACAAGTTGAACCTGCCTGAGAAAGTTACCGCTGCAAAGACTAACAAATTTCGAATGTTAACATCAAATATTTACTTCGAACTTCATTTACACATTGTATGTGACCACTTTCATATTATAGCGATATGAGAAATGTTTTTATTATTTAAATATAAAGGATTCTCATACAAATATTTAATTTAATTTTTTTATTTGTCTGTCCTGATTCTCATTTTATTAAATTAATTTCAGTGGTGAGTGCAGTTCGTGGAATATTTTTGTGCATTTGGATTTTTAGTTTTCGGCCATTTGTAATAATTAAAACAAATGGCTCACTGGTCAGGGGCGTGACGGTGGCGGGGGCTGAATGAAATTTTTTTTAATTAGCAGCAATGCCAACGCCAACCGTCGCCTGTGGCAGCAGCACCGGCGTCAGCGTCAGCGTCGGCGTCGGCATTGGTTGGCCGCTGCGGTGTTGCAACACGTGCACAAAGGCTACAGAGCTGAAGCTAAAGCTAAACAGCGTGCGAGGCGTGGCCAGGGCAAGTGGCGCCAGGCCCAAAACCCAAACCCAAACCTAAGCCCGAACCCAAACCCATGCACAGCCCGCAACCGAAAGCAAAGGCCTGTTGTTGGTTAAATCCCCAATGGGACCTCCACGTTTCAGCTTCAGTTGCTGGCTGTTTTGTGGCTCTGTGAATTAACCGCGTACAGCAACAGCGAAAACTACTTTGGCAAGGTGTCAGCTGCGCATTAGGCACAGTCCAATCCCCATCCCCACCCACAGCTAACCTCCTCCTCCTCCTCCTCCTCCCCTGCGCCGCCACCACCTTCTTCGGCCTACCTAGCTAGCCAGAATCCCGATGAGGCCTGCTAATGGGCGTGTTTGTGCCACAGGGCGGTGTCGCTGGCAGCTCGTCATGTTGCCAACTAATTTCATGAAAGTTGACATAGAAGCACATGTGAAATCAGGCAAACGAGCCGTGTGGGTGAGGGGTGAGGGGGTTGGTGGCTGTGTCGGGGGCAACAATACCCAATGGAATTATTTCATTTGTTGTTGCTGTGTTGTGTTGCTTCTGCTGTTTTGTGGCGTTGACTAAATTAACATTGACGTGTGCGTTGTTGTTGTTTTTTGCTACTGCTGCTACTGCTGCTGCTGCTGCTGTTGCTGCTACTGCGAGTTGCCTGCCACATGTGGCATTTGGAACCGTTTTCGGCGCTACTGTGCTTTTTTGTTGTTGGTTTTTATGCTGTTGGTAAGCCAAATGAAATATTCACACATTTTCTATTTTATATTTTGACTTGTAGTTGTCGCTCCATGTTTTGTAAGCCCGCCATCCCCTCCCCTCTCCCCTCTATCACTCACTCTCTGCTCCCAACCAATGTTGGCTTCCTGCCGTGTTGAAGTTTTACGGCCGTATATGAATTTAACATTTTGTGTGTGCTTTTTGCGGACACCGCATAATTATCATATCATAGAGCAGTGAATGAGTTAAGGACAGACAGAGAATGAGAGCGGTGAGAGAATCAGTCTCTGGAGTGCAATGAGCGCGTCCTCTAAAAGGGATTTGGGGCCAGGCTCTTCTGACACATTAGCATAAATAGGAGCGGGTGGCTTTGTTGACGGGTTGCTTGGTTTCCCGCAAAGACTTTAATGGCACTCAAATGAAACTTGTAAATTGCTTTAGCATAATAAATTGTTTGAATTTCGTTGAATTAAGTTTCAAATTTGGTTCCAACATTAAACAAAAGCCAACTGCTCATAAAAATTCATAAAAAGTATGCCTTAAACGTAGCCATATAAAATATTATTTTAAATTGAACTGTGGGAAAATGCCACTAAATAAAATTAATTTTAGATTTCATGCTAGACTTAAAGCTTTTCATTTTGAATTGCTTGTGAATCAATGAATACTCAGAAATATCTTAGAATAGTAAAACATAAATAGGTTTTTGTAGAAGTCAGCTCATAGCTGAGTTGAGTTCATATCTCAAATGAATATTGGCGCCCAAACAATTTCGAGTTGTTTTTTTGGGGTCAGTGAAAAAGAAATCAATTAAAGACTTGTCTGCCGCAGTGGCAAGTAAAGATACATTTATGAATTATTCAGCTCAATTCTGAATTAGGCATTTGCGCTCGTTTTTTTCTTTTCTGCTGTTATTTTTTTCACACAATTCACTTAAGCGAACGCTTCAAAGTGCTAAAGATGCAGATACAGATACAAATGCACTTGCAGTTGCAGATACACATACGGATACAGATACAGATACAGATAGAGATACATTTTCGCACTGAGCTGCATTTGTGTGCAAATTTTCTTGTTGCAGTTGATTTCTCAGTCAAGTTCAGTTTGCAATTTGTTTTTGGCGCGCATTTGATTTGCATTGTTGTTGCTGTGGTTGGTGTGGTTGGTGTTGCTGGTGCTGCTCCCGAGGCATTTCACGCTGGGCTGCATTTTCTTTTTGTCGTTGGCAGGCGGCGGCGCCGACGCCGACGCGGGCGCGCCCGAGACGGAGCCAACGAGCCATTGCCAGACGGAAAGACAAGCTGACAGGCGGAAAGACGAACGTTTTCGGTTGGGGGGGTTTCGGTTGTGGGACATAGGACATGGGACAGACAAAAGCCAAGTCAACTCAAGTCGTGTCACGGCAGCAGCAGCAGCAGCAGCAGCAGCATCATCAGCATCAGCACTCGTAGGGCGACGGGGTACGGTGGGAGGGGCATAGCGGTACTTGGTTTTGGGGGCTGCAACTGGGGCGGTCGCGTTTTCCATTTCGTTGAAGTGGAAAATATTTTGTAAATATTTTTGTGTGTGTTTTATTTTTTTTTTTTCTTCTGGCTTTCGACTCTCCTCGCTTGTTTTCTTTGATTTTCGTTTTGTGTGGCTGCTGCTGCTGCTGCTGCTGCTGCCTCCGCAGTTGTTATTTTTGTAAAGCTGTGAGTTTATTTTTTCGACTTTTTACTTTTTTTTCAATGTTGTTGTTGTTGTTGTTGTACTAGTCCCCCACCTCCCCCCTTTGCCGTGCGTCAACCGCTTGTTGTGTTTTGTATTTTTACAAATATTTTGTGTAATCTTTAAAGCAGACAATGATGACAGCGACGACGATGGCGGCATTTTGTGTCACATCCTGAAAAGTATTCTCTCATTTTGCTCTGCTTCGCTTGCGGATTGTTATTGTTGTTCTTCTTGTTGCCAAAGTATTTAAGCACGTGCGCACAGTGGGGCCAAACAATGTGTGTGTGTCTGTGTGTTTATATGGCCCTGGGGCATCACAGCCACCAGCCACATCCCTTTCACCAACTGTATCTAAGTATCTGCGTATCTGCGTATCTGGGTGTATCTGCTGTGTATCTGTATATCTGTATCTGAATCTTATGCTGAAATGGACTCATATTTCGCGACAGGGCTGTTAGTCAGCAATTCAGTTTGGCGGGGTCCCGAAGTCACTGAGCCTGTCATGACATTCACTGGCTCTGGGCGACTCTTTTCGTTTCGTTTCGTTTCGATTCGTTTCATTTTCGTTTTGTTTTAGCATTTTTGCCAGTTGGCTTTGCTCCGCCGCATCTCGTCTCAGCTCGTCTCGGCTTGCCTCATATTCTCTGAATAAAGCGACACAGAAAAGAAGCAGCAAAAAAACAAAACATAAAAATAAAAGAATATAGAACAAAAGTTTTGCTCATGGCCTGTCGCTGTCAGAGAAGTGTCAGGCGGCAAGTTGAATAGGACAGGGATAGAGACAGCCAGGGCGGCAGTCGACATGAGATGGGAAATGGAAATGAAATGCTCGTCGGGTGGGATGAGGTGAAGTGGGGGCGGTAAGGAGGGGGATTCAGGCGGAAATCTCAACGATTTGAATAAGTAAATAAGCATATACGTGTATGACAGGAGGAGCAGGCAGCAGGCACCAGGCACCAGGCAGCAGGCACCAGGCAATGGCAAAGCAAATGGCTGCAGATGACGATGACATCCTTAATAGGGCTAAAGATGAGCCGGCAAATGCACTGAATAATAAAATACACTGTGATCAAAAGAAGTTAGCTTTATGTGTGTGTCACTTAAACAGAGTACAACCAAATGAGTTAGTCTCTAAGTTAGAATGAGATAAGAATATTGTTTTGCTTGGCAGCTGTAAATGAACAACTAAAGTTCACAAAGTCAATTAAGACAACAACACCTTTTGAGATTATGTCATATGACATCTATACTCTATACACTCAGGCAATACGTAATTGCTTAATTAGAGGACAATACAACGATCTGAAATTAAATAAGCAGATTGTTCGATAATGAATTAATTACTGCTTGCTTTCAATTAAATGTGCATTTTATGACAACTCCTGAGTACATGGAGCTCGCTCCGATAATCGCCGGCACTAACTGGCAATTAGGCAAATATATAATCGTACGTATAATAAAAAGACCAATGAAACTGAATGACAAAATGTTGCTACTCGTTAGCTAGAGCCTAAGGGCTAAGGAGACACTCGCTGTCACGTCGACAAGGTTAATTGTTCTATTTTGGCCATGGTCTGTCCAATATCACGGCCTGTCTCGGGCCTCAGGTATTCTACGCACACCTGCGTGCCACAGAGTTCGAGGCCTTGAGACCTTGAGGCCGGTGTCTTACGCAATTTATTTTTGGGAAAAACTATGAACAATTGCATATCTCGGACTTGGTTCTTATGCAATCCCAACTTTCACTTCGTATCCCGCTGATTATGTGCGCTCCGCGGGGAGTCAAATCATTATCCCAGGAGCAGGTTCCTCACTGTTTCCACTTCTTTAGGCCCAGGCTAATGGTTTGTGTTTCAATTTAGCTAAAATGGCATAAGATGTGACAACATTTTGGCCAAGAAAATTTTTAATATAAATAGTAATATTTGAAGCGAAGTTTTTTATATTTGATTAGATTATTTATGTAATTTATTCCGATTACAAACAATTACCGATTTATATAATGTTAAATTCACTTTCACTCGTTTCTAAAAAATAAAATAGAAATTAGAAAAGGTGAAAGTCACAAATTCGTATGTCTTCTACTTAATTTCAAATATTTCGCAATAATCACCTTCTGACTTCTTCTGTCTAACGCTAGATTAGGTTGCCAACCCGGTAATTCCAGTATAATTTCCGAGCTGCTCATTAATTTGTTACGTCCGCCATAAAATGTGTTATTTATGTTTTGTGTCTTCCATTTAATGTGCAATGCTAGAATAAAACAATAAAAAATACATACATATATCTATATATATATATATATAAATATAAATGTTCACTTTCATTTGCGCATTAAAATGAAATTTAATTAACACTTAAACACTTAAAAGCTAAACAAGCGAAACCGAAACCCGAAACTTGCAAATTGTTGACAACATTTTAAGTAACGTTTCTTTGTCGCTGGTCAATGGTCATGCAGTGGCTCGGTGGTTCGGTGGCTCGGTGGTTCAGTGGTGCGCAGTCTTCGCTCTTGAAACTGCACACGAAATTATAATTTTCACACGCAATCTCAACTGGGTTGGAGTTGGGGCTGCCTGGAATGATGTCTCTTGTTGCTGTTGCTGTTGTGTGATATTTTTTTTGTTGTTTTTGTTTTGCTGGCCCCGAACACACTTAACAATTCAATTGTGGAACAATATTACATGGCAGGCAGCCGGGGGAAGAGGCTACTTAAACTTGCTCATTATAAGATACAAAGAAAAAAAACAAAGAAAACAGGAAAAGAAAAAAGAAACAGAAACAGAAACAGGCGACAAGCGTTCGCATTTGCACTTAACAAGAGCAGCAACAAAATGAGCAGTGACAAACGTCGATAAAGCTGCAACAAATCTTGCCTATATAGTGCTGATCCACTCCACAACCCCCAGCCCCTCTCATTGCGTGCGTGAGCTGCTGCTCCTGCTCCTGCTGCTCCTGCTCCTGCTGCTCCTGCTGCTGCTGCTGCGTGCGTGAGTGCGTGTTATGTCTGACTATGGCCATGGATCTGTGGCTGCTTAGGTCTGCGGTCTGGCTGGCCATGCGCATGCGTGCATTGCGTTTACGCATTGCTTGGCTTGTAATGAAGGTATTCCTCATTACAACACTGATGGAGGGGGACAGCGGGACAATAGGACAGCGGGACACCAACACAGCGCTGGCCATGTTGTTGCCAATCAATTTCCAATAGGCAACGGCACACAGCATTTTTCTCCTGCCAATCAACGGCAACAGATGAAGTCCAGTGTGGACACAACAGACAGCGCACAGGCACCAAAGGG